GAACATAGGCTGTGGAGACAAACCAGATGGGGTTGGATTCCTGCTATGTGATCCTGTCCATGTTACCTAACCCCTCTATGCCTCAGTTTCCTCCTAAGAAAAAAGTGGGAATGGTACTTTTTCCATAGGGCAGTTGTAAGGACTAAATGCTTTAAAGCTTGTAAGCTTAAAAATGCCTGGCATAGGGGTGCCTGGGTGGCTCAGTCAGTTAAGCATCTGACTCTTGCTCTTGGCTCAGGTCTTGATCTCAGGGTCGTGAGTTTAAGCATGTGTGGGACTCCACATTAGATTCTGCACTGGGCATGAAAAAAATGCCTGGCATGTAATGAGCACTCAATAAATAGTAGTTATTTTGTCAGCCCTTGGCTGTTACTGTCATCCTTAGCAAAGTCCTCCAAACCCAACCTTTACATATTCTTCACACTCTGTATTCCTGGGCCATTGACTTCAGTGATATGAGGGCTCTTTTAACTCTTCTGAGGCCTGAGCTAGCGAGATCAAGAAAGGATCTAGAAGTTTTATCATCATTATCATTATCATTGTCATCATTACCATCATCATCGTCGTCGTCGTCATCATATCTGACATTTGCTGAACACATCCTGTTATGCTGGATACTTGTATATTTTATTTAATCCCACCAACAACCCTACAAACTCTGTTTTATTATTCACAGATAGTTGATGCATCAGGCTCAAAGGGATTAAGTTATTTGCAGTCCAAAATCATGTGGATCTTTTCCTTGAAATGAGGCTCATCTCTGTCTAGTCACAGGCTATATTTCTAAGGATGTGAGGTGGCCAGAGAGAAGCATCTGGGGTGAGTTGTAGACTCACTCTGAAAGCTCTGAAAGCTACTGTTTTCTTGGTTGTCTGCTGTACTCTAAAACCACTCTCTGGTTTTCTGTATTCAGCCATCTTGAAGGAGACTTGGCTTAGAGGTGACCATCTGGCATCAGCTCATGCAGCTTTTGTGAAGTCACATGTGGTGCCGGAGTTGCCAGGAAAAAGGATGCCTTGATGAGCCAAAATGCAAATTCCTTAGGAGAGGAAAAGTGGAAGTGAGCTTGTTCACACTGTGCAGGGCTCCAAGGAAATGACACAACTCAAGAGACACAGTGTCCTGCCACTAGGCTCCATCATATTACAAGGGCATTATTTTGCATTTGATCATAAACTTGCCTCCTAATAGTTTGCTTCTTTGACCAGTAAGAGAGGCAAAGGTGACCCAAATTAAAAAAGAAGTTAATATTTAAAACAGTAGAGCTGGGTGCCTCCAGACATTAAAAACTCAATCCTCTGGGAAGTGAAGGCAGTACAGGGATGGGAAGCATGTATTCCTCATTAATCTCCGGAGTTTCCCTCATCCTGGAGATAAGTTACTCAAAGCAAGTCAAGTCCAAGAGAAGGGAATTTGGGGATCTTCATCTAGTTTGTGCCCATCTGAAAGGCTTTCTAGGAGCTTCACTGAGGTTTCTAAAATCTCTTCTTTGGCTATTTGTCTTTCCTCTTCCTTCTTTCTCTTTTGTTCTTCTTTCTACTTCTTGTTTTGTTTCTTTCTCCGAGTCTTAAGTTCTCCAGAATGTCTGCCCCACTGTTTGGCCCATCAGTTTACAGTAGCCCTCAATGCCTAAGTGAAGGCTAATTTTCTTCCAGCCCAGTCTAAGATGGGGTTACCTGGACTTTGAATGTTTTTTTCATCTATAAATTCCTGCCCTTCTTTTTGCCTCTCCTAGACCTTATAAATTACGTTTACAATCAAGGGCTGCAGTCTAAGGGATCTTGCAAGTGTTGGCATTTGACACCAGCACAATTAACACCAATGCTTATAGCATATTGTCTTGGGGAGTTAGCATAGGGCATTTAGAAACAGATTTTTAAAAGACTACTTAAAAGTCCTTTAGAAGAACTATTAGAAGTTAGATAAGATCCAAATGTTTGAAAATTCTAAATGAAACCTGCCTGATTTAATGCAAGCCATATTTGGATGCCTAAGGTGAGACACTCTGATAAATTCAAGCCAGATCAGCAGCTAATCCTCAGGCCAGAGGAAGCAGACGATGGGCTCCCCTCAAATGAGGGGAACTGAGTCATCTATTGGTAAGGCCCAGAGAATTGCCACACAGGCTTCTGCTTGGAGAAGGCTGACCAACCAAACAGTTCAAGTAAGAAGCAGAATTCCACTTTGGGGCTGTAGTGATGATTCCCTCCATCCAAAAGGGGACCACTGAAGCTGCCAGCACCTCCCCTAAACACGTCTGTTCCCAAAGTAGTCCCAATTTTGGAACCTTCCTGTTTGGATTTCTTATAATGTTGTTCAGTGGTTCTTGTATCATCTATAGAGTTAGTTAAAACATATATTGCCAGGCTGCGCTCCCAGAGATTCTGGTTCAGTAGATCTAAGATGGAGTCTAAGAATTCATGTGTCTAACAAGTTCTCAGGTGATGCTGATGCTGCTGGTCCAGGGATCACACTTTGGGGGGACCAGTGGGGTAGTTAATGTGCGGGCCCTGGAATCAAAGTTGCTGGGTTCAAAGGCTGACACCATCACTCCTACACTGGAGACTTCAGAGCAAGTTAACTTCTCTGTCACCTTAGCATCTCATCTGTTTATAAGAAAATGAGTACAGGAGCTATACCCACTTCGTGGTGTTTTGAGGGGTAGATGAGACAACGCACGGAAAGCACAGATTGCTACATGCAAGTGCTCACTAATTTCGGTTGTTGCCAGTTTTAGTCTCCAAACACACCAACCTTGCAGAGCTGTTCTCAGGTCGACGCTTTCCCGATCCACTTGCTCACACAGACACCCTCTGGTGTTCCGGGGTGCTGGCATACTGCAAGGTTTATGCGGGCTCAACCACTTGAAACTTACCAGAGGCCATTGGTCCTGAAAGCACCTGCACACGGAACCCTCACTTTTGAGTCTTTCACAGAGCTGGGTATTCAAAACTTGCTATTGCTACCACTGAGTCCCTTGGCCTCAGCCTAGGCATCCATATGCACATTTTTACCAGCACCCTAGCTGTCCTTTTGTGCTCAGTGACTGCAAGACAAATAAACACGGACCAGAGAATCTTGCCTGCTATCCCAAGCACTAAATTTTATATTGACTGAATTTGGATGCGTGAGTTTAGACTTCCTACCCCACTTGGGCTTGCAGAGCCACAGTGGCTTCTACATATTTTGTACAAGTTCCTCTTCCTCTATCCTCGCTTATCATTTCTAAAATTAATTTTTTTTAAAAATCAAGGAAAAGTCAGAAGAATTCAATTGCTAGACTTGCTTTTTGTTTTTATTATCAACAATCAAGTTAATGGTACACTCTTGGAAAACTATATGCACATGTAGAAATATTTCCCTTTTAAATAGAAGCATTCATTATAACACATATAAATAAATTCGAAAATCTGAAACATAACTTATGACGCTTATGTTCACAAACAAGAGTCCAACAAGAAGAAGAAAGAAATCAGACAGACATGCACCTGATAACAAAAATATATACCATTGTCTGAACCTTGGTCTCTCTAAACACAAAGAAATTGAACCCGTGAGAACCTTATTACTCCATAAAGACACGCCATAGAGACTACAAGAAGAGAAAAACATTATACGGTCACGGAGAGGAGACGGTCTGTACTGATATTAACACGATACAATTGAGTCACAGAACACAGTTGTAGAAAGACACGGAAAAAGTTAAAGCCTCAACATTCAACTAATATCTATAGTTTGTGCCTTTTAAAATAAAAACAAAAACAAAAAACAAAAAACAAATCCCAACAGAGATGTCTAATCTGCTTGAAGAATGGAATCATCAATATACAGTCCATCCACCATACAGGATGTGAGTCCATTTCTATCAAACAGAAATGCAAACCGAGACACTTCTGCAAACTTGTGTGCACGCCTTTCTTTTCTCGGTAGATTTCTCTGCAGCCAGCTGCGTGGACTGCAATTGATTCTAATCCAAAGCAGTGCCAAAAAGTTCGGTAAAAGCTGGTGGAAGAAGAAAATGCCGGTGGGGGGTAGGGGGGTGACAGGAGAGAAAAAAAAGGGAAGAATTGCGAAATATGAGACCATTCGCAGAGTTTGTGGATGAAAAGGCATCTCATGTATAGGGCATCTTTCAGGGCCGAGTGGCTGCAAAGATTTGGGGTTGGGAGTTGCAACTGTGTGGGGTTCGGATGCGCTAATGGCAGGATGGTGTTGGCGAGGTGGGACAGGCAGGCGGGAGCGAGGAAGTCACCTTGGCCGCGGGGACAGTCTGCACGAGTCGTCGCCTCAGCAACCCGAACCCAAGGACACGAGGTGAAGGGGGGCTGGAAGGCACCCCTACTTTCCCTTGAGGAGGAGCCCCAAGGGAGTCTGTGCTGCAGGAGGGCGCGAATTTAGGGGTTCACAAGACAGAGCCCTCGGACGGTGCTAGCTTCAGCCTCCCTTCTTCCCCACCTTACTTATTTTTCCTTGGATTTTAAAGCCTTTCCGGATTGTTTGCTTGTTTTTAAAGTGATCGCTGCCTTCCTAATTTTTTTTTTTAATTTGAGGGTTTTGTTTATTTTTTCCCTTTTCCTAAGCAAGTCACTGAGTCGGTTGCGCTCCCCCCTCCCCCCATCTCTCCCTGTCACCTGCTCGGGCCACAGACCCACATTCCCCGAGACAGACAGACACCGACACGCAGACACAGCCCCCCTGAGAGTGCCCCCGAGTCCGGGCCGCGCTGCACACACCCCCAGGTCAGCAGGCGGGGCCCTGGCCGGTCTGCGCGGCCCCGAGGCAGGTGCCAAGCCAGGGAAGTTTTTAGTTTTGTTTTGTTTGGGGGTTCACGATAGGGGTAGGAGTGGGGTTGAAATGGGGGCGCCATTTTCTCTTTATTCTTATCGCGATAACTTCGGGCTCTCGGTGGAAAGCCGCGGCAGCAGCGACGACAATAGGCTTGGGCCTACCCGCTCGCCCGCTCGCCCGCCCGGACCCGGCTCGCCCGCCGCCGCCGCCGCCGCCGCCGCCGCCGCGGGATCCCAGATCAGAACATACTGCTCTTCACTAAGGCGGCTTTGGCACCGTTGGGTCTTTGGAGCGAAGATAGGACGCTGGCGAAGGGGCCCCCGAGAGAATCCGGGATGGAGGTGATGGGCCCGGGGCCGGGAGCCCAGCCTTGTCCAGGGCCCCCGGCCGCAGCCAGGCCCCCGGCCGCCGCCGCCGCCGCCGCAGCCGCCGCCGCCGCCGCAGCCGCCGCCGCCGCCGCCGCGCCTCCCTTGCCGGGTTCGCCTCCCGGGCCCCCGGGGCCCGCAGCCCCCGGGGCCCCTGCCGGGCTGGGCCCGCCGCCGCCGCCGCCATTCGCCCCGCAGCTGGGGGTGGGGTTGGGGTTGGGGCCGGGACCCCCAGTGCTGTCCGGGTCGGTACTCTTGGCCTCCTTGCTCTCGTCGTCCCGGGACGAATCGGACTTCTTCCCCGAAGAGCCGTTCTTGGCCGCGGCCGCGGCGGCCGCTGCCGCCCGCTCCTGCTTGCGGAACTTGGCGCGGCGGTTCTGGAACCACACCTGGCCCGGGGGTAAAGGAGAGGCGGTGAGGCGGCGCGAGAAAGGAGGAACCCCGCCGGCCGAGCGCGGATTAGGACGGCCCACGTTCCCTTTCGGCTGGCGTTAAACCCCTCGCGTGGCGGGGACCCCCGCGCGCACCCCGCCACCACGTCCGTCCGCTCCCTCGTGGCCGGTGCGTCTTCGGAGAAACTTTCTTAGGGTCACCTGAGCATGCCAGGAAAAAGGCGGCTTGCAGGAGACGTTAAAAGGCCCCACGTCGCAGAGCTGCCCTAAAAGGGAAGCCTTTATTTTGTCCGGCCTTTGCCCAGTCTATTTCTTGAGCCACCCACAAACTCTCCACACCCCCGTAGGCCGCAGGTCTAAGGTTAAACCCTAATTGTTTGGAAGGAGGAGAGTGTCTCCGGGTTTGACGCTCGCCTCGCGTCCCGGCCTGTGAGCCGGATGGAGCGTACAATGGGGCTCGCCTGCAGTGGCGCCCGGCCGGCTCGAGAGCGCACCTGTGTCGGCTAAAAGGTTAGGGTTAGCCGCGGTTCAGGACCTTCATGCAGCCACAGCCCCTTTGCAAATCTGATCCCAGTCATAGTTACCGGGGAAAGACACCTACACCCCACGATTCCAAGTTAAAAGAGTTTGACTTCGGAGGCACAAAAACAAAAACCCCGCGTATAATACGGGGGCAAAGTCTGCACTCCCGCCACAAGGCACTTCCTGTCCCCCAAAGCCTTGCTCTTTCACGTCCCAAGAACCCGAAAGTCGCTGCAGGGCTACCTGGGGAGGAGAATGCTTTCAGCTGTGCACAGGTAAACACGAGCGCGCGCCCGAACGCTTCCTCGCGCGCGCAGCCCCTCGGAACGTGGTCTCGCTGTTCAGCCCTGGTGGCCCAGGCCTCGCCTGGAGAGGCCCGGGTGTTCCGAACCTTCCGGAGCACCGCCCGCTCCCCGCCTCCGTACCCTCCCGCGCCGAGTGTGGCGAAGCGGTTTCCGGGCGCGCGTACCTGGACTCGCGCTTCGGTGAGGTCGATCTTCAGGGCCAGCTCCTCCCGGGTGTAGATGTCCGGGTAGTGCGTCTCAGCGAAGACCCTCTCCAGCTCCTTGAGCTGCGCACTAGTGAAAGTGGTGCGGATGCGCCGCTGCTTGCGCTTTTCGTTGAGGCCGCCGTGGTCCGTGAAGAGTTTGTAAGGAACTGGGGGGGAAACGGAGGGGACAGAGTGTGAGCAATGCTGCCTGGAGCGCGGGCCGCGGAGCCGGAGTGCGGCGACCCCAAGGTCGGGGAGCCCTGGTGCGGCCACCGACGCCGGCGCGGGAGACTGGCTGAGAGGAGCTGCGGAGAAAAGCCGAGCAAGTCATTCATATACCGAAACAGGCAAACCCCGGGCTTTGGCAGGGTCCCTCTTGGCACAAGCGCCTTTGGGTGGGTTAAAGCAGCGCACGGGGGACGACTGAGGCCCGGGACACGGGATAATGCTTTGATGAGGAAAAACGAGAGAGGAAAAAAGTCCAAAAACATCAGTCGGAATATCAGGGAGCCAGGGAAGAAATTACCCAATACTCGCACTCTTGGAACTTTTCAATTCTCAGAAGCTGACCCTGCCCAAAAGTTGGGGGAAAGTGCTGCAAAAAAATAATAACGATAAATTAAAGAAATAATCCTAAAAATGACCAGCGAAAGAGGTGTGAGCCGCTGTCGGTTCGTAAAAAAAGAGACACTGCCAGTAATGAGCTTTACTCTTTGTTATTTAATTATTTTCTAAGCTTTACGTCTCATCGCAAAGTAAATAAATTATGCCTATCATTTTGGCAGCTTAAGATAATTTTGTTGGCGGTTCGGGTGTGACTAGGATAGTGTAACCCTGTAAGTGAATTACCCCTCCCTGCAATCGCTTCTAACGTGATAAATTCTTTCATTTGTGTAAGCAAATTTCGTTTGGTAAATACTAAACACATTTCCATTTTCAAATGCAATCAAGGCTTCCTATATACGAGCGGAAAGGCGGCTTCCTCCGCTGAGAAAGCTGGCGGTCCTTACCTGCGGCGTACGGACTGCTCTGGTGGTCCCTGAGGGTGCCGAGGCTGCAGGATCCCGGCGTGAGGGACGGGCAGCCGGACGTGGCCCCAAAAGTGGTCCTGATCGGGTTATACTGGAAGCCACTGGCCTGGCTGCAGGAACTGAAGTCAGCATAGGCTGAAGCCAGGCTCGAGGTGTCCATCCCAGCCATACAGGACTCGTAGGCAGAGGAATTGAGGTAAGAATATTCCATTTTATACATTGAAAAGGCTCTGGATGGCTCAGCCAAGTGGAAAAATGAAATAAAAGATGGGTATGGAGAAGGTGGCTGGAGTGGGGAGATGTGCACAGCTCAACGCCTGCCTCCAAACTGGCCTCCTTACTACCAGCAGAGCCTAGTTTTATGAAAAAGCCTCCTATGAGATGCCTTGTCTGAGGTCTCTAGAGCATATAGTCCTCATAATAAACTTGGCTCTTTCCACTTGGACAATAGCAAAGCGGTTGGTCTTATTGCTGGCGCTTTTTACATGACAATAACTCATCCGTCTATTGGGCTGGCACTGGGGAACTGAGCTGTCCAACCTCCCTATCATTGATTCCTGCATCTCTAATTAGAATTTAATACCACACCATTACGCACTGAGCCCCTGATCCTCCCTTCTAACCAGCTCCCTGCCCTTTAATTCAATCACACTACTTGGAAATAATGAAAGTTGGGTGACGATTCTCCCTGATCCAATTTCCCCGAGCTTTTAAGCCTTTTTAACTGATCATATACCTTAGGCATAAATTGAGATAGTGTGTGTGTTTTCCCTCTTCTTCGTCCTTTTTTTTCCTCCCCCCTCGGTTAGAGAGAAGAAACCTTGATGTCATAGAAAACCTGTTTTGTAAGAGCGTTACACGCTCAATTTAACAACAAGCCTACCCCCCGAAGTGCATGAAATGTTATAAAGGACTGGGACATTGGCAAGACTCAGGCGCCCCGTAACATAGAGTAAGTGGGCCAAGGGGGTTTATGTGAAGGATAAGCGGATTTCTTTAAAATACACCTGGTAGAGGGGGTTTAAAAAAGGAGAGCATCTTATAAATTGCATTTCTTGTGGCGGCTTTCCGTGCTTTTTCTAGAGCCTCTGCTTACACAGCTGTTTAAAAAAGAAAACAAGGGCTGAGTAAAGCTCTTCCATGTGAAACATCTGGATTGTCAACCGATGGCTTCCTTGAGGTCCGCTCTGTGTCTTTCTGCATTAGCGTGAGGTTTGCATTTTTGTTGGTTTGGAGGTTCTGTGCGGTTGCTGATTTTAATTACTCCATAACTGGCAAGCGGGCAAGAAGTGTCCCCAAATGTGCCTCCTCTTCCTTCCCTCTCGGGCACTCTCCTCTTTTATTGCCTACACTCTTTCAGGTGCCCACTACCCCCCACAGACCCGGGGCTTGGGCTTCGAAAAGAAGATTGCTGTCTGCCTGCCCTTTAGGTTTGTTGCCTGCAGTGAGTGAAATCTTTGCTCTTTAAGCGCCCAGGCTCCAGGTCGGGCATTTCCTCGTCCAAACTCCTCAGGCTCTTGGGTGCTTGCTAGCAGCAAGGTACAGACAAAGAAGCGAGCAGTGATTTGTGGACCTCGGTGGCCCCATGATTTAAGCGGAGGGTAATTCTCATTTGGTTCGTTAGGCTCTCGCAGAATAAGGAGAACTATTTCATTAAATCCTTCCTCTCGGTGGACAAGAGGAGGGATGCTTAGTTGAATCGCCGTGTGGTGTAAACAAACCCTGGATATTTTATATGAATTAAATGTGTAGATAATTAGTTTTATTGCATTCATTACCCCCTTTATGTGCTCTGTAACAAGTCAGTAATTAAAGTAACAAACTCATAAAGTCTTTATAGGGGCATTTAGGCGTTCAGTGTTTGCCAAACTAAGTGGTTTAATTCGATGCTAGTGCTTGGGAGCGGATGGGCGCCGGCTCTCCACTGCCACCGTGTTTTATTGCGCGCTAAACTGCAGCGGACGCTGTAATGGATTAAACAGGGACATCGGGCCCCCCAGCCTTGTGCTTCTCTGCTGGGTGAGTTTCAGGCTGGTTTCAGGTGACGGCGCATCCTCTGGCCGTGTGGAAGAGCTAATGCTGGGAGTGCAGGCGGCAGGACCCGCGGAGCAGCCTGGTGATAGTTTTATGGGGAGGGCTGATAGTTTTATTGCAGTTGTATGTTGTACAATGCGTATTTGATAAAGAAGGGCCCTTGGTGACCAGTGTGCACTTTTTGTGCACGGAGGTGAAATGAAAATAAATGTGTACAAGGTTGTACTGCGGCGAGAAACAAATTGCAATGCTCTAAATGGGTTTTCTTTATGGTCACCAGACAAGAGGAGAAAAGAGATGCAAACATCTGTCTTCAGTCCCCTAAACCTAAAGGCCAGCAAAGACGGATGGGAATCCAAGTGTTATTACAGTGGGGATTTGTCTTTATTTATCCTGTTCTCATGAATATGGATCTGCATTTGGACCGGGAGGTGGCCGTGCCCCTTTGGACGCCGCTACACATGGAATTTCCCCACCCTTATTGACACCACCACCACTACCACCCCCCTTTAAGGGAGGTGGAGGATAGGTTGTCAAGCATAAGGCTGCGATTGTCCAAGTTTCTAGAATCCCTCGAACTTTGGTGGGGGGTTCGGGGGGGGGTGCCTCCTGGGTTTCCGAACACGACTCCGATTCCCAGGCTAGCATTCAGGGGGCGTGGGTGCAGGGAGCACAGACAGGTCTGGGTGGCACCCGGCAAGCCGGCTCCCCCCGCTTCCGTGGATTTTAAGCGCGTTTCTCTGCAGAAGAGTGACACAGTGTGTCTGGCGGCGATGCGTTTTGGCTTTGAGGCCCATGCTTGGCAATTACCAGGCTTACACCTCTCTTGGCGCCTGTGCCTTGGTGCACCCGGGGTTGTGTCTCCGCCAGGTGTAGAGCGCGCGCGCTCCGCCCAAGATGCTCCAGCCTCTGAGAGCCGCGACTCAACGGCCGCCCAGAGTGCAGGGCAATTACACCTTGCGTCCTAATCTGCAGACGGTCCCTAGGGGTCCCTATAGCCCTTGGGGCGGAAGTGGGCCCGCGGACCCGGAGTGTGAGGGGAGCTCGGAGGTGCAGGGTTTATAGCAACAGCTAGTGAGGGTGGCTCTTGAGCGACAAAGTAGAAGTTTGGGATTTTGTCGGCGCTCGAGGGCAGCCCCTACGCGCGGGAGCCGTTGGCGTGGGGAGTGCTGAGTGCAGGTCAGGGGAGCTGGATCCGGAGGCTTCCGAGGGGGGCGACGGGAGAAGCTCAGGGAGCAGGGCTAGGACACCGCCAAAGGGACCGGGCGAGGGGCGTGCGAGGTTGGTGGGGGGGTGCCAGAGCAGGGTGGAGGGCGAGGGGCAGGCCCACCCGGGCCCCGAGCTGGGCACCGCCTCGCGCTCCCCGAGGCCCCCCGGCCCCCAGGACTGGGTTTCTCCCCTCCCTGCGCTCCGCGGCTCCCACCCGCCTCGACTCCCCGCCTCGTGCGCCCCACCGCACCAGCCTTCTCCCGGGTGCCCGGGTCGGCGCTGGCCTCTCTCCAGGCGCCCCCTGCCGCCCGGCCTCGCCCGGTCGGGGTGCTGCGCGCCTCCTTCTCTTTGTACCAGGGGGACCTTTCAGCGCTGGGACCGCACGGTCCGATGAGCAAATGCGCTTGACTTCATTTTCCCCTTTGTAGGCCTTGTAGGTTTATTTTGTTCAGTGTCACCGTCCCCTTCCCACCCCACCCCACCCCCACCGTCCCTGGCCCATCGTCCCCTCTGTGGGTCTTTTGTGGCCCGGGGTCCTGCTTCTGCTCCGAAGATGAAAGGCATGCGGGGCTGGGCCAGACCGGAGCCCCAGCCCCAGCGCCCTGTTTTGTTAGAGTTGTGCTTTCTACACGCGAGCTCTCCCCTAAAAGTTGTACCAAATGGTTAATTTAATTATTCCAACTATAGACCAACTGCTTCAGCAGCCTCCACCACGCGTCTGGGAGGAAAAAAGAAACCATCTATAAGAAATAATCTAATAAAAGTGAAGTGTAGAAAAACCCCTCCTGATTTTCAACCGGCACAAATAGAATTAGAGCTTCAGCATCCTTTTCCCAAACAGACCTTTTGTCCAGATCACAACTTCAGCCAACCAGCAATGTGTACAGTGCCTGCTATTTATTTTAATAGAAGCGGGTGGGTAGCGAGATGGATTGATAGATAAATGACCGCATGGATAGATGGATGGTTTGATCCATCTTCTTCTGACTTCTCTTTCTTAATATGTGTACACGGTTGATTTTTTTTCCCCTGCCGATTTTCTGAATCAATAATGGAAAGGCAATGCTATGTGGTAAAAGAAAGAAAGAAAAAAAGCCATTTAAAGCACAAAAAAGGGAAGAAACTACGGGCATATATACCATGAGAAAAAAAAATGTTTACATGCTACCCAGTACCAAATGAAAAAGGTTGAAAGTTTAAAAGAAACTTTTCTTTCCTTTTCTTTGCCATTCATAGGAGGGTTTCTTTTTCTTCTTCTTTTTTTCCTTGAAAGTCAGAAAGAATGTTAGAAGACAAGGAAACAAAACAGCAAACAAAATGCCATTGTATTGTAGTAGCAATTCATGGGAAAACGCTTGTCAGCCTCCTAATGCTTCACTCCTAGGAGGCTGTTTTGAGGCTGTTTCACCGCAGGCGAAGCACAATAACATGGGAATGAATAAAATATTAAATACCAGTGAGAGTTTCAGAGGAATTTTCTTTTTGATTGCTTTATTTGATACTGCATCCAAATTATCCCAGCACAGCGAGACCACTCACTGCCAAGGGCTCAACTCAGAGCCAACACTTCTCCTAACCAGAGAACGAAAAGACAAGGTTTGTCCTTAGGTTTCTCCAAAAAGATTTCCGCACGCAGCAGCCTTTCCTACTCACCTGCACTAAGGAAAGAACCCGGTCAGAATTCGTTGAGACAGCATTCCCCAGAACATCAAGCAAACTAACCACAACAATCCCAAGAATGAAGATCCACGGATACAGAGCTTCTCCTAGCATTTTAGAATTTTTTCCACATTTTCCATTTGCCTAGCAACCATAATACACATGTTTCATAATAGAAACGCTTTGTGCTTCTGGTAACTAACCTCCTGGCACTGTGGGACTAACAATTATTAACTGATTGACAATAGTGTGTGCAAAGCTGTTAGCACAGTGCTTGGTACCTGGTAAGAGTCCAGTGAACGTTAGACATCAGTATGA